CCGCCAGAGCCCAGGCCCACGAAGCCCGGCCTGTTTGGTCCACGAAGGCCCGGGCCCGGCCCAAAATACAGCACTACCTTAAACAGGGAGGAACCCGTGTTGTGGACTTAGGACTCTGAGACATGGGTCACTGAACCATTTTTTGCGAAAATGACCTCATTTTGCAAGAACGACCGATGTGTCTAAAAGCGACTAGACATGAAAATTCGACCAGGATGGGCCTAAAAGTAAAGAGACACCTATTTGTGGATTCAAAACTCTCTAGACACTTAAACAAATCACTTTGTGAAAATACCCATATTTTGCAACATGACCGATGTGGCCAAAAGTGGCTAGACATGCAAGATTTGGCTACCACCCTCGAAGCCAAAATCCTAAGAGTCATTAGGAAGACCAGACCCTATGTGGGCTGCCTATGTATCCCGCCCCGAAAGACGAGAATCAAGTATGTGTAGTTCGGGAAGATTGGATACGGGTGAGAATTAAAAAAATAGCTAATTTGAAGAAAACATATTTTTTGTCTTTTTTTTTTTTGAAAAATGATGGGAAAGTGCAAAATCTTTTTGGATTTTCTATTTCATTTTTTTGGGTCTTTTTCTTAAAAAAAAGTGAAAGAAAAACATAACTGGGCCTACTTGCTTTATTTTCACACTTCACCCTCTTTTCTCTCTCATTTTCCCTCAACCATCATTGGTCCGTCAAATGACCCTTTTTACCCTTGAAGAATGGAACATGTGGCACATAAGATGCATCAGGGTGGTCTTTTATTTTTGGGTACACCTGTCCTAGACGGACTCAACCCCTATATTGAGTCCCCAAAGTCAAATGCACATGATGCAGACAAACGTTCTTACTAGGGATCCAACATGAGGCTATGTTATTCTAGGTTTAAACTTAGGATTGTGTTCTAAACCTGGCTTACCCGAGCGGACAGCTCGAGCCGAGGTGGGGGCAACGTACCGGGAGCACGAAAGTCTACTCATCCTTGTTGCTGACCCAAGGCTCGTTCTATTTGGTATGACTTCTAACAAAAAAGTGGGCCACGCGTATGTGTGCACCATATTTTTAGAAGACTCAGAAGGGAGGTGTAAGAAGACAGTTTAATATAGTTCAAATAATATCAAAGCAGTAAAATAAGCGGCAATTAGCACATTAGGTCCACAAATACAGTAATATCAACAAATAATAAAGTCAAGCATAGATTATATTAACAAGCTCAAATTCTAAACCCTGAAGCAGAAGTTCTGGGTTCTTTCCTCAGCGGAGTCGCCAGAGCTGTCACACCTCCTTTTTTACCCGAAAGGGAATAAGGGAGTTTTTTCAAGTAAAGTGACGATAATCGAAATGGGATTATTTATTCAAATTCAGAGTCGACACTTGGGATAATTTATGGTGTCCCAAATCACCGGTTTAAAAGCTTGAATCGAGGAAAATTGACTCTGTTTAAAGGTACGTGAAACTAGAAGACCGGGTAAGGAATTCTGTTAACCCGGGAGAACGTGTTAGGCATTCTCGGATTTCGTGGTATTAGCACGGTCGCTTTAATCATATACCTGTATTATTAAATTGTCTAATTACTATTTTTAAACCTACGTGAATCTATCCCCTTAACCGTTTTTATTTGCTTAATTATTCTTAATTATCTTTTAAAAAGCGAGACACGCGTACATATACTCATTTTGTTTGGCGCATCCAGAATCATGTCACACATACGTATCCACAATTAATCACGTTTTATTAATATTAAGAAAGTTTGGTTGAAGTTGCTCGAACGCATACCTCAATTTGTTTTTAGAACCATAATTATGTCAGGCGGACGTGTACATAATCATGATGATAGATTAAGTCGCGCCTAAAGCAAGCTACAATGTTCACGAATTATATAATCCCTAATTCGACGATTGTGTGAAAAGGCTTGTGACTATAGAGTACTTTTACTAAATTCCAATCTCATTCCCTTTTAAGCTTTTATTTCAAGCATTCGACCAAGCCCAATTCTTAAAGGATGTGAACAAATTAATCACTAATGGGCTTTGTCCTCCCCGCTTCAATGGCCCAACAATCATTTAAAGAGGAATCAAATAAAATAAGCATCCCAAACATATAAATTAGAAGGAAAACACAAATAAAAATTAAAGGACATAAATGGGGATCCAAGGATGATAAGAGCTTTAGCTTCTTATGTTAACCTACGTCAATTTGAACAACAAGCTAGGGTGTCGACTTCACTTTCATATAAAGATACGTGCAAATTAATTAACTTCAGATAGAGAAAGAAACTGCTAGGGTGTCGACGTGCTTAAAAATATTGATTAACCCAAATTAAGGTGATAATAACCAAACCCATAACAGAAAAGATATCAAATCGTCCATCATAAACTCATTTCAAAGAGAGGAAGACAAACAAAAACTTTATGAAAATTGCACATGAATGCACCAGTTTTTCCGGTTTGATCAACAATTGCAAAATCAAACAAACCTCAGTTCGACATATAGACTACCCAGCAAATCAAAACCAATGTGAGCCAACATCACAGAATTTGACTGAAAACTGTGTAGATCTGACTAAATAGTGCAAAACCGAGCAGATTTTCAACAGGCTAACAGTTCAGACAAATGTCCAATATACTGCAGGTTATAGACTCAATTTACTGCTCAAATCGGCTGTCTCCAGTAGATCAAACGAGCAGAATTCTTTATAGCAGTAACAGTGCAGACAAATTTTCGAACAAGAGAAGGAAAACAGAACAAATCTGAACACGTACATTCAATGCGATTCAACATTAAACTACAATCATAGACATTCCAACTTTGTCAATTATCCAGGTTCAAACCCAATTAATCCAATGAAATAAACTTGAGAGCAATGAAGTAATCATCCTAGACCTTAGCTGTGTGATTGAACTTCTAATTAACAAAGAGACAAAGCACCAAATGCCATATGTTTTCAAACAAAAAAGGGATAACGGACTGAAACACGCAAGAATACCTTTCATGGAGGAAAGTATCTCGATGTGCAAATCAGGAATGTCACTATTCAACAAACTCACTAGGCTGAAGTGTATGTTAGAGTCAAATTAACATTCAATAACCCTGAAGTGCGTGCCAACATGTGAATTACAGAGGAACTAATAAAGACAAGCAAAATTAACAATAAGTCGCATCACCAGTGAGCGAAATGCAACATGACAGGCAGAATAACTTGACTCTAAGCATGATTCACTTATTTTATATGCTAATTCACGTAACCAAACAAACAGTCGGGGTATTTAGAGAAAGCTATCAAGACAAGCATGAGCGCATATTAAACTATACCGTTTCATAATCGATTGAACATCAATCATTTAGGTCACAAGGCAAACAATCCAAGCCAAAAGACACTCCAGAACATTTAAGTGTAACTCTCGTACATGTTCGCACAAATCAGCCCTAAATCCATTCCCTTTTTAAATCGACCAAACACTTTCCAAATTTGACAAACCTACGGCTCTTATCATGTTTCAATCACCATTAACAAGAATAATAAGGAAAGAGGTGAACCTGAATCTGCAAAATTATTCAATTAAGTTCGTTTGAAATTGAATACAAGTGAACTCAACACTGGAATTTGAAGTAACAACAGCTGAGAATGCGACAGGATCCAAAATCCACAAACTCGGCCTCGAACAAACTTCGACTCTCGAACTCAATCGAACTCCATAATAAAAGTGAAATTTCCATTTTTTTTAAAGAAAACATAGATGCGAATATCAAACTTAACAACAATAAATTTTTTATTTTTTTGTATTGTTTCTGGAAATCCAAGAACAGAGAATAAACTCCCACAAACCTTAACTTTCCTCTCCGATTTTTTCTCCTTCTCAAATCCAAGACCCCTAAATCTCTTTATATCCCGAAATCCTCTGGAACAAGGCACACACTAATGAATGAAGGGCTGGGATCAATCCAAATTGATCCCACGTTCTCCATTAATCCAGCACATGCCTTCTAGAGGCTTCTTCACGTGAAAAAGAGGGGTGAGAATGAGAGAATATTCGAGTTCGTTATTTGTCAGGCCACGTGGAAGGGGGAGAGAGATTGGACCACGTGATTGGTTATAGGGGGAATTTTTCGGCGATTTGGGTGGTTATTTGCGGCAGAGAGGCGGAGGAGGGATTAGGGGCGCCGTTTGGGTTAGGGAAATTAGGGTTAGGTTTTCAAGGTTTGGGATTTATAAGTGGTCTTTATATGGGGGTGGGATTTAATTGTGTCCATTGGATGAGGCGAATCGATGGGCTTAGATTTAAGGGGAATGGGGCGGGTTTGGGCAGACGGATCGCGAGCTAAAGGGCTGGCCCAATATGGAATTTTAGAGAGGGGGTCTTGGGATAAAGGCTATCCGAAATTGGGTCAAGTAGGATGGGCTCAAAAATTGGGCTCCCTTTCCTTATCTTTTCTTAATTTTTAGCTTTACTAAATTTAATTAAAAATGCTCAAATAAAGTCTAATTTGTAGAATTACATTAATTGTTTGTTTTTAACATAAGAATAATTAATTAACTTAAAGCTAATGAAAGGAAATTACTAAAAATCTAAAAATATAAAAACGGCCAATTTTTTTGATTTTTGTTTAATAATACAATAAATTTATGCAATTAAATCCTTAATGCAACTAAAACTTAAAATGCTATGCATGAAATATTTTAGACATTTGGTATTTTTCTCATGATTTTAAAATGTTAATATGCAACTAAATGCAAGCAACAATTAACAAAAATTCCTAAAAATTCTATAAAAATTAAAATAATTGAAAAAAGCTTATTTTGAATTTGTAGGAATATTTTGCGTCGGGCAAAAATCACATTCTCACACTGATAATATGTGCTAGGTTCAAATTCATCATGCTCAAGAATGGAATTAGAACAAGAAGAGGGAGATGTTCTGGAAAAAGAACAAACATAGTCCTGAAGATAGGTGGGAAGATGATGTTCCCTAGAGGATCTTCTCAGATACTGAGAAGGAATAGAAGATGAAGGAGTAGAAGAGATAAGGGCAGGAGCAACAGAAGAAGAAGGAGATGTAGGACAAAAATAAAGAGTAACAATAGAATGAGAGGTAGGAGAGGAAGATGGAGCAACAAGAATAGAATGGGGAGAGGATGATGTGAGAGATAAAGGGGCAGCAGTATCAGAAAAGGAAGAGGAGGATGGAGATGAAGCAGAATTAGATGATTCAGGATAAACAGTAGAAGGGGTAGAACCAGGTATACAAGGAGATGGAATAGAAGTGGTAGTAGGATGGGATTGAGAGAAAGGAAAATAGTGCTCATGAAATATGACATCCCTAGAAATGAGACATTTCTTAGTGGTTAAATTGTAGAGTTTGTAACCCTTCTTAGCAAATGGATAACCAAGAAAGATGCATGGGGCAGCCCTGGGCTTTAACCTTTCCCTGTAAGGTATAGGAATTGTGGCATAGCATAAGCAACCAAAGAATATCAAATGAGAATAGGTGGACACCTTACCATACAACATTTCATAAGGGGACCTGTCATTGAGAAGTTTAGAGGGTAACATATTAATGATATAAGTGGCAATCAATAAACAGTCACCCCAAAATTGTAGAGCTAAACTAGACTGAAATAGCAACGCTCTAGAGGCCTCAAGAAATGTTTTATACTTTCTTTCAACTACCCATTTTGTTGAAGAGTATATGGGATACTAGTTTGATGAATTATGTCATGCTCTGAGTAGAAGGAAGAGGCAGAAGGGCTTGAACCCAATTCTAAAGCATTGTCACTTCTAATGGCTTGAACTTCAGTATTGAATTGAGTCTGGACCATAGCAAGGAATGCTTTTATCAAATCAAAGGCATTGCTTTTATCCCCCATTAGATGTCTCCAAGTAGCTCTTGTATAACCATCTACAATGGTAAGGAAGTATTTATTACCAGAATATGAAGTTGTATGATAAGGCCCCCATGTATCAATGTGTATGAGTTGGAAAGGTTTGGTAGTAGTAATGGAGCTATCTGGAAAAGGCAGCCTAGTTTGCCTTGAAATTGGACAAACATTGCAAATAAAAGGTTGTTTGGATGATAGTTGAGATAAGCCAGAAATCAATTTCATTCTAACAAAAGGGACATAAGCAAGTATTTGATGCCAAAAAACATCCATTTTATTCATTTAAGTAGTATTACAACTAGGTATAACAGTGCACATATTTCGTAAGCTAGGACAACTATAGTTACAAGTTGATGCAGAAACATGAGAAACAGGAATGGAACTAGAAGCAGGAAAACTACAAGTAAATGTAGAACTAGGAACAACAAATGAAGAATTAGCATTATTCATGGATGGTGAATCTGTAAAGAGTTGAGATTGAGATGGTCTTTTCTAGACAAGCTTGTAAAGATCAATATCCAATTTACCAAGATCCCGAGGCTTCTTCAGAGAAGGGTCCTGTGGTATAAGTAAATAAGATTCATAAGCAAACGGGACAAAACATCTAAACTATAGAATGATCCTATGCACAGAAATAAGATTGTACTGAAAAGAAAAAATATATAGAACATTGTGAAGAATGAGGGATGGATGCAAGGCAAAAGAACTATTGCTGGTCACTTTTACTTTGTATCCATTAGGTAAATACACAAGATAAGGAACAAGTAAAGGAGTAAGATTAGTAAGAAAATCTTTTTTAGATGTCATGTGATCAGTAGTCCCAGAATCAATTATCCAGGTTATATTAACTGTTTGAGAAAGCATGCATGAACTAGAACTAGTAACATTCAACAGATCACCAAAAATTAATGTACCAGCAAAATTGGCAGAAGCAATGAGATTAGGCTGAGGAGAAATATCTGACACATGAGACTGTTGTAATAGAGTCAATAATTGATTGTACTGCTCCATGGACAAACCAGGAATCATGGAAGTGTGTTCAAAAGAATCAGAAAAACTAGAATGAGAAGAACTATCAGCATTATGCCCAGCAGCAGCGAACTCAGGTTCAGCAGTGGCATTTGCTACAATTCTTCTCCCCTTTGTGAACTTGAAATTGGGAGGAAAATCATGAAGCTTGTAACACTTATCAATTAAGTATTCATGCTTCTTACAGTATTTGCAAAATATGGGGACTTTGGCCTGATCAACATTTGCCCTTTGATCAAAATTTATCTTTTGATTATAGTGTTGTTTTGGAGGAGGGGGAAACTTGGCATAATTGTGGACAGTTGTATTGAACGAGGCTGAGGCTGAGTCTGAATTGAATTGAGGAGTATAACTAATATGTCTCTTACTCTCATCTTGGAGCAATATGTTGTAAGTAAATGTCAAGAGAAGGAAGTGGTTGTCTCATAAGAAGATTGCTCCTAACACTAACATATATTTTATTAAGTCCCATTAAAAATTGAAATAACTTGTCCTCCTCCAATTCCTTTTGCAAGGGACAGTTACAGGGACTTACAGAATGTTGGCGCATGAAGGCCAATTCATCCCACAACCTCTTCAATTTATTAAAATAAGATGCAATATCCAGAGATCTCTAACAAGTGGAAGCTAATTCTTTCTTAATCTCAAAATTTTGGTCCCATTAACCGTACCATATCTAATTTCAAGTTGCTTCCAAATACACTCAGCAGACTCGGAGTATTGAACGCTCTCAGCAATCTCAGGAGAGAGAAAACTAGTTAACCAGGATATCACCATATTATTACATCTATTCCAAAACTTTAATTCTGGTGCATTATCAGATGGTTTGGGGCAGGTGCCATCTATAAAAGCTATTTTATTCTTTGCCGATAAAGCGACTATGATTTTTCTCTTCCAACCCCCAAACCCAGTACCAAAGAATGGTATGGGCACTAAAGAAGTGCCAGGAATATCAGATGATTGTATAAACAGAGGGCTCGAAGGTTCTGGGAAGTATGTAGAAGAGGAGCTGGTACTATCTCTCAAAGTCATAATGAAAACAATAGATCACGCCAATTTTATGCGAAAATCTACACATGCAAAACTCTAGGACAAGGAAAACCAATTGTAATAGACAAATGAGTGATAATAGGTTCAGATTTACCACACTTCTTCGCTACCAGAAGAAGAACGACCTGCAAAATGAGAGCAAACAACAAAAAAATCAATGAATCTGACGAAGCACAGATGAGACGAAGATGAGAGAAAATCCACAAAATCGTGTGAAGGTACCATCAGACGAAAGCTGTGCGCGAGATCTACGTGAATCCTCGCTCTGATACCATGATAAACTTGAAAATCCACGAGATCACCATGAATACAAGAAGATGGAAGCTTCTCGATTGAATCTGTTATGTTCTGTCCAAAAGAATGAAAAAGTCTATTACAGAACATGTATAAAATGATATATATATTATGGGCCTAAGCTACTGACCCGTCTACTACCACTATTAACTATATAAAATAAAATTACATAAGTTGGGCTCCTTTGTGACGAGGCCCAGATGCCAAATATTCTCCCGGTCCAACATTATTATAACAAATTTCAACATAGAATAGTGAAGTATTTTGATCGGCTTTGTCGATTGATTGCATGGTCAATGAAGATTTTGTCGAACGACGAAGTCATGGTATTTACTTCATGCAAGATTGGTCTTTTTCACCTGTTGTTTAACTTAAGCAGGTATTGAATTTCTGACCAAGATCTTTCAAAAGAATTCCATACCACAGTTTTGGTAGTGTTTTGCTTAAGGAAGTATTCAGGTTCTGACCAAGATTTTTAAGAATGATTCCGTACCACTGTTTGGTGCATAACAAAAAGTTGACAGCATAAGGAAAGAGTTCCCGACATAACGAATTACAACATTTTATGATTTTTCAAATAACATCCACATTAAAGTTATATAGAAAAGTCTATTATTTTATGCAGTATACAAGATATAATTTGAAATGAGAATACGTGTATTAACACAACGGAAATTAAACCATTTAAAGACAAAAATGCCTTCAAAATAAGTAATTTATGCATAACAATTATCTTATTTTTAATCATAACAATGCCTTCATAATTGATAACAACATGACAGTTGTTTGAATATCATTCACCATAAATAATCTCTGCAATATTTTTTTGAGAATAACACTCTGCAATATTATCCCATATAACAAGTATATGAACCAGACGACCCTAAATAAATTAACAAAATCTGTAATTCTTCCTACACAGTACTTGCCGGTTGAAGCTGAACATCTGCAAACATGCTTCCTAATATCAAATTAATAAGAATGATCACAAACATTGGTCAGTGAAGATTTATATAGTCAACCCCGACTAGTTTGGGACTGAGGCGTTGTTGTTGTTGGTGCTATACATATTGACGAAAAGTTGATATTGATGACTGAGACGTACAAGGCAAATGTTAAATCCATCAATCTGGTAGCTATCATGGCAATATCAGCTCCTGCTATTTGATACCCTTGAAAAGAATATCAGCATGTCCGGTCTCCTAGCAATGTCTTCTTTGATCAGTGTTGTGCTTGAATCAACCTGTCTCAGGACAAAGTCAGTCCATCATGTCTGCCCTTGAAGCTGTATTAATCACGACGCAGGGAGAGAGATTAGGTACATGCATTTTGTCTGTGTCCTTCAGAAGCATCAATGATGCAGTGCTGAAAGACCCCCGATAATTTAGTAGGATAACCATCAAACCAGGCAATCTAGAAAGTGATGCTTCTGCACTAGGGAACCACCTATAAGAATGTCATTTAGGCTTCACCAGGTAGGATGCCCATATCTCATCTGCTGGAGGTGGTGGCTGGACCCAATGCCCAGGTATTCGGCTGCATCAAGACACAGAAGTTTGGTGGGGGGAGAGGGCGAAGGGGAGTTGTTAGATACCGATACGTCTGGCATTTGCCATATGCAGACATAACTTGTCATGAAAAATAGGAAAAAATTCTATTTTGTTAGTTTAAATGAAAGAGATCCCAAAGAGTAGAGATTTAAAGGAGAACGTTGCGAAAAGACGCTAAAGGGTCAAATAGCACATTTCGAATGCAAAACAATATAGCTTTTCAACAATACAAAAGCAGTGAGAGCCAAATACCAGACTAGTTGTATGAATCTAATCCATCCAGCCTTATTAGTAGTATTCTTTTAGTGGCTGAGTCAAAAATGTTAAATCACACATGATTAAGTGAACTACCGAAATCTAAAAACTTGTATGGTGGTAATAAGGATATGATATCTAGGTGAGAATATTAACACATTGTATCAGAAAACGTGATTGATGTAAGCATCAAGAGATGTTCCTTTTTGACCTTTTTTCTCACATTTTCTGCTTGTTCTTTCCATGTCAGTGAAAACCTAGTAAATAAGGAAATGACTAATGCAACTGGTGCTTTTGTACCAGCAAGATTAAGCAAGATATATTTACCTTCCTCCAGGTCTGATGTATGCATCCCATGTTCTTCTTACCTGCATAGAAGGAGGAAAAGGTTTCATGTAGCGCAAGCCTATAAATTGTCAAGCATAATTAACTTTTACATTTTTTCTAGCAAGAACAATTAACATATAGAAACGAATAGAATGGCCTTCAATCACAATGATATGCAAATCTACTGCAGGAGTAAATAATTAGCAAGACATTAGCCAAGATCACCTCTATAAGCGTTCCCAAATCATGATTACTGCCATAGTAATAGTGATAAAATTCCAACGGTAGATTTGCGACAGAATCATGTAAGCTGGCTGAGCCTAGCCCTTCAGGTCCGCCCTTTTCCATCTCATTGACAGGCGTAGAACCTGATTTATCTTTACTCTCAGTCGTCTGGTCTTGATTTATTTTACTGGTACCAGTATTAGCATGCAGGTCACCAGGCTCTGATCTATGACTTTGAATTGTTTTCCTGGATTCCTCAGCAGTAGCAATTGCATCCTTAGCAGCATCTGTTTCAGCTGCTGCCTTTGCCTGTCGCTCTTCTTCCTCAACTGCAGCTCTTACTCTTTCTAGAAACTTATCATCCTCTTCCGGAAGAAAGTGACCTATTCAAGTATAAACAACGATGTTACAAATTAAGTGAAGAAGATTGATGTCTTTGGGGCCAAAGGGGAAAAGACTGAGGGTAAAAGGTAGTGTCTTTCATAAGTAAGGGTTCTACTCCGTCATCCCACAATGCCAAATGTTTACAGGTTTTAGCAAATTGTTGAGGAACTATATCAGCTTAATACAAATTTCCAAAATATTGATGTAATGATTTTCAGTAGCAGAACTCTCAATCTTTAGTTTCCGAATATCTATGCTGAAACGAACAGCATACATAAATAGTTACATATAGAAAACACAGTAGCTGCATAAGTGGGTTAAATTCTCCGCAGATGT